TTTTATATGCATCTGGACTGTTGATACCAACTGTTTTGTAATGTTCATGGTGAGCATCTACCACATTTTACTTCCCTACTCTCCCACTCATAGATACCCACATTGCCCCAGATTTTCCTCCACAGCAGGTGTCATTTCAGTGAATATACCTACTTACATACCTGTGTGAGGTTTTCTTGGGGTTATATATTTCAAGACAGGGGTTGCAGGTTCATAGATTATGCAGATTCAGTTTGAGTAATTAATCACATTGCTCTCTGGAGTGGTAGAAAGTCTGTGCTTCCATAGTCATGCATGCAGGAATTTGTATCCTCATATCCTTGCCAACACTTGGCATTATTTTAGTTTTTTATTTTTGCCAGCTTAATCAGTATAAATCATTTCATAAAAGTTTTTAAACTTGTGTTTTTCTGATTATTAATGAATTTGCACATCTCTTCACATACTTGTTAGCCTTTTGGGTTTTCTCTTCTGTAAATTGCCTATTTGTATCTTTTACCCATTCCATTAGGGTTACTTTTCCTGTTAATTTGCAGGAGTTTCTTATATGTTCTAGATAGTAATCATTTATAGATTTCAGACATTTAAAATAACATACCATTTTGTCATAAATTTATTAACTTTGTCCATGGTGTCCTTTATTGAACAAAAATTTTTAATTTTAATGTAATAGATTTCTTTTTTTTTTTTTTTGCTTTATTGTTCGTACTTCTGAAGAAGTTCTCTGCTCTTATAGCAGAAAGATATTTCTCTTTGTTTTCTTCTGTCTATGGTTTTACTTAACATGTTTAGATATATACAGATATTGTAGGTTTGGTTCCAGGCCACCACAATAAAGCAAGTGTCACAACAAAGCAAGTTACATGAATATTTTGGTTTCACAGTGCATATAAAAGTTATGCTTATACTATACTGTGGTCTATTTACGTATGCACTAGCACTGTCTAAAATATATACATTCCTTAATTTTAAAATGCCTCATTGCTAAAAAATGCTTGCTAACAGTCATCTGAGCTTTCAGTTATTCACAATCTTTTTACTGTTGGAGGGTCTTGCGTTGATGTTAATGGCTAGACTGATCAGGGTAATGTTTGCTAAAGGTTAGGTGGCTGTGGAAGTTTCTTATAGTAAGACAATAGTGAAGTTTGCTGCATCAGTTGACTCTTTCATGAAAGAATTTATTGTAGCATGTGATGCTGTTTGATAACATTTTACCCACAGTGGAACTTTTTTCAAAATTGCATTCTCAAACCCTGCTGCTGCTTATCAACTTTGCATAATGTTCGAATCCTTTGTTGTCAGTTCAGCAATGTTCACAGCATCTTCACCTGCAGTAAATTCCATCTCAAGAAACCACTTCTTTGCTCATCAGTAAGAAACAACTCTTCATCTGTTCAAGTTTTATGAATTTGCTACAATTCAGTCACATATTCTAAGCAGGCTCCACTTCTAATTCTAGTTTTCTTGCCATTTCCACTACATCTTCAGTTACTTCCTTTACTGAAGTCTTGAACTCCTCAAAGTCATCCATGAGGATTAGAATTCCCTCCTTCCAAACTCCTATTAATGTGGGCATTTTGACCTCTTTCTATGAATCATGAATCTTCTTAATGACATCTAGAATAGTGAATCCTTTTCAGAAGGTTTTCAGTTTACTTTGCTCAGATCCATCAGAGGAATCACTATCTATGGCAGCTATTGCCTTACAAAATGTATTTCTTAAATAAAAACTTGGAAGTCAAAATTACTTTTTATCCATGGACTCCAGAATGAATGTTGTCTTAGCAGGCATGAAAATAGCATTAATCTCCTTGTTCATCGCCATCAGACTTCTTGGGTGACCGTATACATTGTTGAGTAGTTGTATTTTTAAAAATATATGTATTTTTTTTCCCCCGAGCTACTGCTATGGAAGCTACTGCTCAGGGGAAAAAATAACTTAAATGTTCTAAGTTAGCTTAGAATATTTAGTAATTAAGTAATAAAATAACTTAAATAATCTAAGTTAGCTTAGAATATTTAGTAAACCTGTAGAGCACAGGCAGAGTAGATTTACCATATTCATGAGGGCCTTAGGATTTTTGGAATGGTAAGTGAGCATTGGCTGCAGTTAACATCACAAGCTGATTAGCCCCTAACAAGAGAGTCAGTCTGTTCTTTGAAGCTTTGAAACCAGGCATTGACTTTTCCTCTCTAGCTATAGAAGTCCTAGATGGCAGCTTCTTCCAGTAGAAAGCTGTTTCACCTACACTGAAAATCTATTGTTCATTGTAGCCACCTTCATCACTGATCATGACTAGATCTTCTGGATCACTTGCTGATGCTTCTCCATCAGCACTTGCTGTCTCACCTTGCGCTTTTATGTTATGGAGATGGATTTTTGCCTTCAATCTCATGAGCCAGTCTCTACCATCTTCTAACTTTTTTCCTGTAGCTTTTTCACCTCTCTTAGCCTTCATAGAATTGAAGAGAGTTAGTGCCTTGCCCTGGATTAGGCTTTGGCTTATGGGAATGTTGTGGCTGGTTTGATTTTCTATCCAGACCACTGAAACTTTCTCCGCCTCAGCAATAAGGCTGTTTCGCTTCATTATTATTTGTGTGTTCACTAGAGTGGCACTTAGTGAGCTTAAAAAGGAGTAGAAAATGTGGCTTTATAATATTTTGTGATTTCTAGTAGGCAGGTCTCTGTTCTCATGCTACATTTTCTGCTTCTTTTTAAGTTTACTTAGTTATTCCTAGACTTCTGTTCCTTAGCTAAATTTCATGATATTTTTCTTAAATATGCTTGTGCTTTCTTGATTTAACTTAGTCTGACAAAATGCCAAAGAGATACTGACTGTGATGTAGTATAGATGATTATTTGGGGGAAAAGCAGGTATGACTTGATTGGATCTGACAAAACTTGATGCTTATTGTAGGAGTCCCAGTAGCTGCCCTGGCTTACTGTTCACTTGTCTGTGGCATAGAAACTTGTTGGCCCACTTCCTCATATTGTATTTCTTTTCTTTCCCATTTGTTTTTATATCTCTGTCTCTCTGCTTTCTTTAACAGTAATTACTGGCAGAAGATCATGAAATTAATGTAATTCTTTTCTCATTATTTGATATCTATCCCCCTCTGTCATCTTACCTTCCTTTAAAAGTACTGGTTATAATCAAACTAATCTGTGTATTTTGCATAGAATGGACCTTCAGTTTAATTTTATTTATGTCTTACTGAATGAAACTTTTCTTTTTGGATCACTGCACTAATTCCTTTTGTATAATAACATTTCACATACCCTAAAGGCTTGAATGAAATTAATAACTTCTAATTTCTTGGACTTTATAGAACTTCCAAAAAAATGGTGTAATATCTTAGGATTAAGAATTTGGCTTTGCATATATATGTATATCCTGGATTGTATTTCTGTTTTGTTACTTAGAGCTGTTTGACCTTCAACAACTTGTGAAATATCCTTATGCCTCAGTTTCTTTAGGTGTATTTTGCATAGCCTGACATGTAGTAGGAATCCAGTAAAGATTTCATTTATTCATTCAGTTAATGTATATTAAGCAGCTTCTATATTTTGGCCATTGTACTAGGCAGTAGGGATAAGAAATTAACAAAGCAAGCAAAAATCATTGTCTTCTTGGAACTTACTTTATGCTAGGGGGAGATGGGCAGTAAACAAATGAGATCTTTACCCTGTTAGATGTTGCATAGTGGTATGGAGGAAAGTAAAACAGAAAAGTTATGGAGGAAAGTAAAACAGGGAAGGAGTGCTAAAGGAGGAGTACTCTTTTAGATTAAAAAAAACAAAAAAGTCACGGAAGGCCTCTCTGCTGAGATAAGACTGGAAGCAATTTTGAAAGCAGACCATTTGGATATATAGAAACAGCAACATCAGTGTGGCTAGAATTAAAGATTGTAGAGGAGAGAGGTCGGAAATGAGATAAGAGAGATGCAGAGTCTCGTAGGTCATTGAGTGAATTTTTTTTTTTTTTTTTTTTTTTTTGAGTCAGAGTCTCGCTCAGTTACCCATACTGGAGTCCAGTGGCGCGACCTCGGCTCTCTGCAAGTTCCGCCTTCTGGATTCACGCCGTTCTCCTGCCTCAGCCTCCCGAGTAGCTGGGACTACAGGCGCCCGCCACTACACCCAGCTAATTTTTTTGTATTTTTACTAGAGGCGGGGTGTCACCGTGTTAGCCGGGATGATCTCAATCTCCTGACCTCGTGATCCACCTGTCTTGGCCTCCCAAAGTGCTGGGATTACAGGCGTGAGCCACCGCGCCCGGCCATTGAGTGATTTTTAACCTTTACTCTGAATAGGATGGAGATCAGAAATCCTTTCTGGGGTGGGTGACATGACACGATTTACCTTCCAAAAAGTAAAACTGCTTTATTGGGAATGGGCCACTGTGGGGGAAAATTCGATTTAGGAGGCAATTTCAGTAAGTTGCGGAAGTAATAAAGTGATTAGAAACTGGATATATGTTATAGGAACTGTTCATTTAACCTTTATTTAAAAGTATTTTCTGCCCTGGTAGTAATAAAATTTGTTGAACGTAATTTTATCTTTCTTTGAATTATTCAGAATTTTGCACTGTTAAAGGTTGAAGTACGTAAATGCAGAAGATACTTAAAATCTGTGATATAAATTTATTTCCTGTAACTTGGAATTTTTCTTTCATCTGGTAGTGGTGACAAACACCTCAAGTAATTTAGCAAACATTAATTTTTTGTAATTGAAATTTTATATTCTAGTTTCTGAATGTATATTTAATTTTTTAAAAAAAATTCTACTTACGAAAATTGTAATAATCTGAGGTGTTACCAGTATGAGCCACAAGTATTAACAGAGAATTATGGCAATGTATGTATAGGTCTTTGGCAAAGGAACTATTTATAATTGATTCTTAAAGCACTTTGTGATTATTAAACAAAGTAACTTTTATATAAAATTATGCATTGATTAGTATTACCAAAACAACTTATGTTGCCTACTTTACATTTTCCAGGAACATCATTTACAGCGAGCAATTTCAGCACAGCAAGTGTTTAGAGAAAAAAAAGAGAGCATGGTCATTCCTGTTCCTGAGGCAGAGAGCAACGTCAACTATTACAATCGCTTGTACAAAGGAGAGTTTAAACAGCCAAAACAGTTCATTCATATTCAGCGTAAGTTTGTTAATTCATTGTTTTCTGTTTGTACTTTAAATTTATCAACCAGTGGAAATCTTTTCTTTTGCCTAAAGAAATTCTGATTTTTAAATTCATACACACTGATTAACAGAAGTGTTAAACATTAAAGAATAAAATCCCTCTGTGCTTACATCTGAATTTGGAAATCATTTTGAGTTTTAAGTAACATTTGGAACATTTGATATTTATGTAGTATAGGGTTTTGTATAGCACTTACACTTTATTACACAGCTAAAAGGTGGTGGATTACTATACCCAGATGAGATTTTCCTTTTTTTTTTTTTTTTTTTGAGACAGAGTCTCTCTGTCACCCAGGCTGGAGTGCAGTGGCGTGATCTTGGCTCACTGCGGTATCTGCCTTCCGGGTTTAAGCAATTCTCCTGCCTCAGCATCCTGAGTAGTTGGGATTACAGACACGTGCCACCACACCCAGCTAATTTTTGTATTTTTAGTAGAGATGGGGTTTTGCCATGTTGGCCAGGCTGGTCTCAAACTCCTGACCTCAGTTGATCTGCCTACCTCGGCCTCCCAAAGTGCTGGGATTACAGGTGTGAGCCACCGCGCCCACCCAAGATTTACTTTTAAAGGCCCAGTGGCTCTAATGCCCAGGAGTAGGGTTAGTCTTCTGGAATTTTTCAGAATTAGATCTAATGCCTTTACTTTCATATAGTTTTTATTAAAGAATTCTGTGTAGTTTTGCCTCCTTAATACTCTTACTTTTCTCCCACTGTTAGTATTTAAATGATCACCACCTCTAGCGTGAAGACTTTTAACGATCTCCTGTTACATTTACTGTCCTGTATCTCCTGTCCCTGTACTCTTCTAATCTAGTTTCTCTCCACAAAGAACTTCTAGAGTAGGATTTTTTCAGCTGATTCCGCAGACATTTATTTGCTAGTGTCTTGTTATCTTGTCAGGTGTGTAAAAAGGAAATGTTGGATAGCTTATTAAAATAGAGATTCCAAGGCTCAACATCCTGCCTACCTGAAGTACCCACCTGTCTGACAACCTACCTGTATGAGAATCTCTGGGTGTGAAGTCTGGTGATTTGTATTTTTAAAGAGTTCCCCATGTAATTCTGAAACATGACCAGCTTTAAGACTGACTATAAGATAGAGTGTTTTTCATTGATTCTAAGATGCACTGTTTTCATCTTTGCAGTGAAATTGCATCTTAAATTGCTGTTGTTCAGGATTGAAGTCTTGTTCTTATGAAGAGAATTTTCATTTGTTTCTGCCAGGCATTTGGGGATACTACCAACCGGAGACCACATTAAAGTTTTTGCTCGTTTGTTTTGTTTGTTTTTGGACCACAGTGTTAGCTTTAATTTAGGCCGCAGATCTGCTCAAGGTTCAGTTCTCGGGGAAGAATTTTTGCTTCCCCTTTCTACCTAAGGGCAAGTTGAGAAATACAAAATTCCTTGCTTTCCCTTTCTGCATAGCTAATTTATTTCTTTAATCTTACACTGAGGGCATAGCCCTTTGGTAATGTAGCTTTATTCTGTAGTATTCTATTCTAATACTAAGACTCAAACATAAAACTTTTTTCTTTCTTATGGTGCATATAGTAATGTTGTGTCTTGGCAGTTTAGATTTGCTAGAATTCAATAATAGTCATATTCTCTAGTATGAATATTAGGTCCCTTGTAATTTGTTCCCTGCTTTCTCCTTTAATCGCATTTATTTTTGCTTTTCCCTTCACTCTGTGTACCATAGGGACTACAAAAATTACCCACATTGACCTTTCATATTTAACATTTCCTTGCATATGCTATTGATGTCTTCTTTTCCTTCTTATAGCTCATTAAAGACTTAACTCCCTAATGAAAGCCACCTTGACTTTTCTCACTCTACCTGTCTTCTTTGCTTATCATAGTATCTTTTACATACTTCTGGTAGAGGACTCACCATACTTTATTGCAATTATTTGTAACCAGTCTTTCTCTCCCTTTGGACTGTGAGCTCCTTGAGGGCAGGAACTACATATTTTATTTTCTCTTGTGTCTTCAGAGTAAAGTGCTTGGCTTATAGATGATCAATAAATGATGTGTTTGTTGACTGAATTGTTTTAAAATGGCTTTAAAAAGTCTTTCGGTGGTACAGCCATTTTCCACAGATTTCTCTTCTCTGAAATAGTCTAGAGAAACACACATGCAAAAATTATTTATTCTTTTTCTCCTGTGTAATCTTTGACTTTGAGTCCCATTAGCTTTTTGAATTTGCCTTTACCTCTATCAGTCAGGAAGGAGCTAACTATTCATAGTAGGAATTTTAAGGATCTCTCTTAAGCCAAAGTATCAATTATTTTGTATTTTGATAATATTGGAGTTAGACAGGAAGACCGTTTGTAAAAACCATTTTAGGAAACCAAGAACTAAAAATCTAGTGTAACTCATGTGGGTCAGGCCCACTGACTACAATAAACATTATTCTTGTGTTGGTTTTTTTCATTTCATTTTATTCTGTTATTGTAAAAAACAGAATAAAAATAATAGAAGGTTACCTTTCATTTTTTCTTTTAGCTTGTCAGTATATACTGCATACTATACAGTATCTTACTGCACACACAATATTCTGCGTTTCTAGTCATATTTTAAGTTTCTCAGATTTTTATATATGGTATCTCATTAAAAATGCATGTACAATTTTCCGTCAATTTGATATTTCACAATTTGCTTATTGGACTTAAGATTATCTGTACTAAATTTTAAACTCATAGTGTTACTGATTTTTTTCAAGGAAAGTTAAAAAAATTTTTTTAATGTAACCTTTTGCTATGCCTTTAAGGAGTTTCAGAAAATTTCACTCTGAATTTTTACTTTTCTTCTTTTAATGATAGATTAGAGAGAATCCCCATTCACTTGGCTAGAAAAAAACATTGTAAAATTGCCACAGTAAGGTAGCCTTGTTCAGGTTCATCACATACTTGCCTGGGCTTTGGCAGAAGCCTCCTTATTGCCCTAGTCTTTATACCTTCCAAACCATCATCCACTGCCACTACTGTAGTTACTATCCATTTCAAAATTTTCAGTGACTGTTGACTGTAGGATAAAATTTAACTTCTTTGTGTGATATGTAAGGCACTCCTTTGTGCCTGTCCAGCCATGTTTCCCTATGTGTTCTTCCATTGTGACACCAACCTTATTGAAATGAACTGTTTGAGGGTCTTTTTCCTCCTCCACACTGTAAGCTCCTCGGGAGTAGGGGCTCCATCTCATGGTACTTTAGTATTTTTATTATCTAGTACAGTCCCAGAGTGTAGTCTCAATACACTTTTCCTTCCTAATTTCTTTAACCCATCATGCTTTAAGCTACATTAGTAATGAGGTGTCTGTAGCTCTTTGAGTTATGCCTTATTTTGTTATGTCTTCACATAGCCTTTTACTTCTTCACTTATTAAAAATACAGCTTGCCTCCAGGATTACCTTTAGGAGCCTTTTCCTGACTTCTGTCAGCATTGTTCTTGGCACTGTTTGCCCCATCTCTCCTGTGTCTAGTGCATACTTTCATTGTGGCACTGACTCACCTTCAGTTGTGATTGTTTGCCCTCTGTTGGGCAAAGTTTACTGAGAGAAGGGACTTTTTTTTCTTTGAATTTCACTGCCTAGTACGGTACTTACAGCATGTGGTTAGATGTGCAGTTAAATATTTGCTGAATAAATTAATGAGTGAAAGAATTAATGAAATTAGGAGCATGTAGTCGATGGCATTTTCGAGGCATCAGTATTTGTTGAACTAAAAATTGTACACAGAATTACATATAAGGCTAAAATTATTAGTGCGTACAGTGAAATTTAGCAACCTGCTGTGTTAGAAATTAAAAGGTGAGTTCTGTTATTCACCGACTGTTAATTTAGGCCAAAAAGTGCCAAGAAGGAGTTGGGAGTGGACTCCAATCTGTTATGAAAGTGAGATAAACATTCTTGTTCCTTCCAGTCCCTTTCAGTAGCAGTTCTCCATAGTCACCCTTATCAGCTTTATGCAGAACTTACTGAATCATAACACATCGAGCTGTCCTTACCAGGTGGGAAGCATCTTGAAGGCGCATAGTCTTTGATGACCTAAGATGGTAAAACTCTTCAATTGTGTACCACATGCAGAAAAAAATGCTACCTCCGTTTTACTTTTATTAAATCACATTTACTTTGAGTGCTTCAACCCAAATGTTACAATTTTCATTCCTCTTGGAGTTCAATAATTTTATTAAATTCAGTACCCAAACTTTTTAAGGAAACAACTTTGTTTACATTTCAATAATATCTTTATTTGATCTATTACTGGTTTTATTTAATATGTTAACGTTTTACAGTTGATACTAAATATCTCAGAATTGTAGAACATGAAGGAACTCAACATTCTTCCCACCCCCAAACTGCCCCCCTCCGTGAGGGCATCTTCCTCTGTTGCCCAGGCTGGAGTGCAGTGGCACCATCTCTGCTCACCACAACCTCCACCATTCCCTGCCCCCCACCCTGGGTTTAAGCAGTTCCCCTGCCTCAGCCTCCGGAGTAGCTGGGATCACAGGTGCGTGCCACCACGCCCGGGGCTCGTCTTGGACTCCTGACCTCGTGATTCGCCCACCTTGGCCTCCCAAAGTGTTGCAATTACAGGCGTGAGCCACCACACGGGCCTGACATTGTTTCTTAAATATTCTGAAGTTAATTTGTATTCAGTTTTGAACTCAGTTAAATAGTTCTTGATAGCAGGACTCTCATTTCTTATTTTGAAATGAAAGTTTACTTCCTTCATCTCATTCCCTTAGTCTTACAAACACAAAACAGTAGACTGTCTTGACTGAAAGAAGAGTTCAGGAGAAAGGATAGGTGGAGTAATAACTTCTTATCATCTGTCAGGCAGGGAGAGGAATGCACTCAAAGGAAATTGAAATGTACTATTTGTGTCTGCTTCCAAGATTTTAAGCCCTGGCAAATGCCTGTTTGTGGACACTGCTGTACACTTCTGTACACTTGAAGCTGACTCCTTCTCAGACTGATAAAGCTGACTGTTGTCAAGTCTACGTTGGAAAAGAGAAAAATTACACTTACCAACATAAAGTGGACCTGTGTATACCACTAGGTTTTTCAGCATGGTTAAAATAGATGCTGGCCTAACATCCAACTTCAGTCTCATTATCCTTGGCAATGTAATGTCTTTTGATATTCTCTGCATTAAGCAAAAAATGGTAATTGACCTGTTCTTTCAGGGCAAACATACTTTGATTGGAAAGAGTTGGGAAAGATTCAGAACAAATGAAGAGCATTGTTTTGTTTATATAGTAAGACTTCTTGGTAAAAAGGATGTATTCCAGGAACATCGTTTTCTTGTAAAAAAAAAAAAAAAAATACTATTGGGTGTGTATTAAGAAATTAGGCATAAATTCTGTGAGATGACATCACACATTCAACTAAATAAGAACTGGTAAAACAATGCCATGGGTACAGAAGCAGATTGTGTCAGATTTGTGGAGAACACATTACAGGTGAAGCTGGATCTAAATTTCAGGTGATTAGACAGGGACAGGGAGCAAGGCCAGCCCCTGAGGGCAACCCACATTCAGGTCAGCTAGCTCTAAGGATATTCCTTTCTCCTCAGATTGTGCACTAGCTGCAACCATGTCCTATTCTTGGGCAAAGCTGTGAGTGTGGACACTGGGGCTGAAATGGTAGGGTTGTGTCTGGGTAGGTACTAATCCAGGAAGGAGGAGAAGCCTCCAAACCCAGAAGATAATAGATATGAAAGGAGGCCAGGCACAGTGGCTCACACCTGTAATCCCAGCACTTTGGGAGGCCAGCGTGGGAGAATCACTTAAGCCCAGAAGTTGGAGACTGGCTTGGACAACATAGTGAGACCTTGTCTCTACAGGGGAAAAAAGAAGGTAATGCCAGACATTGTGTGAAAAGCAAACTAATAACTGGATAGTCTGAGATAAATGAAAGAGAAGCCTGAGTTTAAAGGAGAACGCTCCTTCAGGCTATGTGCATTTATTTATGTCCACTTTTCAAAAAAAAAAAAAGAAAACGGGATTTGCAGTGACTTAGAGTAAAACGGGATTTGCAGTGACTTAGAGTAAAATACAATGCAATACATTAAAGACCACGGTTATAGAAATCAGGGAGAGAATAAAGGCACTATAATAAGGTAAATTTGATGTACAGTGGTACATATTTTAGGCATGGTGTAATTACAAAATATAAAAGCAGGATTGGTCATAAAGGGTGCATGGTCCTTGGCCTTCAAGCATTTTGAACCCTCCTATGGGGCTTCCCAAAGAAGATACTCTGAGGTAACTCAGCAGAACTGATTGTGTTAGGAGGAGTTACCAAAGATAGGCCTTCAGCATATTCACCTAGCAACTAACATCTCCATAAATGATTCTCCAAGGATGCCACACTCCCCTGAGAGTACCTTACAGCATCTTGTTTCCCCTACCTTAAAGGACTAAAGGAAATTTGCCTTCCCATCTTACCCAGTAACATAATTCCATGGACTGTCTACCTATAAAAATATTTTCTCATATGTTTATTTCTTGAACATTTTGAAGAAGTCTAAACCTTTCCTTCCACAGTTATGGGTAAAAGATAGTAAAATAACATTTACTGACTTCTGTATTTACATCCTGTTACGGTTTGCATACATTTTTTGTATACTAAGCCAATTACTGCTCAAAGGAGCCTTCTTAGACAGCTAATATATTTCTCCCGTTTTAAACCTAACATTAAAGAGCCCAGGATGATGCAGCTAGCAAGTAGAAGAGTCAGAATTCCAATCCACGCCATCTGGCTCCAGAGTGTGCCTGTTTAACTATTTTATACTGCTTCTCAGTCATGGTTCATCATTACAAGTTGCAAATATTTCTACACTTTAGACATAGAAATTAATTACCATTCAGAGGAGGTTGGTAATAGAATCAATAATGGACTCTTTTTTTTTTTTTTTTCAATGGATAAATTGCAGGGTAGAGGCAGGTTGCCTGCTGATAGAAAAGGTAGATGTATGTAACTGTGATGATGCGCTCTTCTCATTTGGCCTGGCAGAGGATTAATGAATGG